ATTTGTTTGATGTTAATGAAAGATTTGATGAAAGATAAAAATATGGCGGACTTTAAGAAGATATGGCAACCATTTCTTGATTATCTGATGTTAGTGGGAAAAAATGACGTATTGATTACTGGTTTTATATATTAAAGAATTGTTTTAATAGAAATAATAGTAAAATAGATAAAACAAAGATAAGAAGTTAAAAGTAATATAATTACTGGTATATTTACAATGTTTGGTAGTCAGAAACCACATTTTAAATGGTTTTTTTCCCCTTCTTTTTTGTTTTTTCTTCTTCTCTTTTTTTCCTCTTCTTCCTTCTTTCTTTTTTCTTTCTTTCTTTCTTATATATGTCCTTGTCATATGAAAGAAATCAGTTGAAATTGTATGGTGATATTAAGATTAGCCATGGCACTAAAAGATTTAATTAATTTCAGTAGGATTAAAACATAACTTTGATGCATATGCCAGGGAATACACCTTCATACTATAAGATCAGGAATTAGTTCTCAGAACTGAGCCAAGCAGCCTAGCTGAGTCATTACTAAATTAGACAGAAGGTAGAAGAGTTGAACTACATTATACAGTTCCCAGGAACCAGGCTGAAACCTAAGAGTTTATGATGTTTAACATCACCTGGGATATGGTACAGGGCAGGGGAGTTCCTGATACAAGTTTGGGAATTTGCCAAACAGGAGCAGAGAAGAAATCCCATGGGCGACCCTGACACCTAAACAAAAGGATGATGCCTGGCAGGTATGCTAGAAATATGCTCAGCTATTCACAGCACAACCTGGAGTTACAAATCTCACCACCCACACTCTAAACATGGGACTGAGTAAGCCTGTATGTCAAAGGTGTCACTCAACAGTCCCCGGCAATGTAATGCCATTGAAAAGGAGATTGAGGAAGTGCAGGCAATGTGTATATTGGACCTTTCCAGTAATCCTGATTCCCATGGTTGGGGGAAAATATGTTTTCTGCATGGACTTTAGAGAACATCATAAAAAATAAAAACAGACTCATTTCCTATGCCTTGCATTAATGACCTAGGAGAATCAGGAATGTTTTCATATTGGACTTGACTAAAGGATATTGAGAGATGCCTTCAGTAGACAGTGATAAGGAGAAGTCAGCTTTCATCACACACTTTAATTTGTTTGAAGTTAACATGTTCCCATTGGGTCTTTGGAATGCTCTCATGAGCTTCCAAAGGCTGGCCAATGAATTCCTCAGGGCTTTAAATAATTTTGTCACGGTATATCTAAGTGGACAGCACTTGGGTATAATGTTTAAAGCACCAGGCTAGAGACTGTGAGTTCTGATCCTATCTTAGACATAAAGCCAATTGGGTGACTTGGGGTCAGTAACACTCTCTCATTCCTAGAAAGAATGCAATGGCAAACCACTTCTGAAGATATTGCCAAAAATTTGCATGGAATGTCCAAGTAGTTGTCAGGAATCAAGACTGACTTGAAGGTACAATGTTGTTGTTGTTGTTATTATTGTAATATATGGATAGCTTGTATTATTATGCTCACGTGACACCACTGTTCCACAAGCTGCACTGGTTTGCAGGTAAGCTTCCAGGTGCAATTCAAGGTGCTGGTTATTATAAAGCCTTTCATGGTATACGCCAGGTTATCTGAGGGACTGCCTACCTCCATGCTTTCTGCATGACTGGTAAGATCAGGGAGAGTTGGTGTGCTTCAGGTCTCCTTGATTAAACAATGCCATCTATCAGGACCCAAGAGACATGCCTTCTCTGTCACAGTGCCTACCCTCTGGAATGATATTCTCCCTCCAACCTACAGATCCATTTAGTCCCACCCTACTGATATTCTGAAAATCTTTAAAAAGTTGGCTTTTAAAAGTTTTCCCATGCTTTGGGGTAGGGTGTTTGTGGAGCCCTGGGTGGTTGTTTGATGTGTGGTTTGTCCTTTTTTTATTGTTTTTTTACTATTTTAAGTGTAAGCTGCCCAGGATCATTCTGAAGTTGAGTGGCTTCTAAACTGAATGAATGAATGGATGGATGGATGGATGGATGAATGACATGGCCTTTTTTTTTGTCAGGCACAGTGTACACTCTACATAGTGGTGCTCTTTGAGTGAGACAAAATAAACAGTCCACAGTCCAATGTAGAAAACTTGCACACAGGCGTTTACTGTACAATATATACAGAATGTACACCACCAACCTGCAAATCCCTAATTACTTCCAAGAACCCCAACCCCAGCCACAACTCCTAGCACCAGCCGCACTATAACCCATGGTGCACTTTGCTATATACAGTGGTTTGTGCTGTGTCATGCTCCCACACCCTACGGGTGTGTGCTCTGGGCGGGTTGCGGGGATTGCAAACATAGTCAAGCTGTGCTCTGTCAAGTCCATATTCTCATTGAGAAATTCTTTACTCCAGGGTAATACCCTGACACCTGAGAGCAGCACCTGGAATATCTGGAATTGGGTTTCAATACATCTGGGATGCTGGACTCACTATCAGGACCAAAAAATCCTAAATTGGCCTGAATCAGGTAGTTTATCTGCAACATTAGGTGGGCCACACAACTATTACCTTTAGAAGGCAAGCTACATCCTTGTCCAAGTATGGCCAAACTGCAGCATCTTTGTCAGATCTAATTTGGATGAACAAATCCATTGTGGTGGTGTGAACGGAGTAGCGCCACAGTGCATTTGAGCAACTGAAAGCAGCCCTTAACAGTTGTCTACTGTTACAAGCTCTTTGAAGAAGTATATTTGTTCAGGTTACTGATGTCTCAGAGAGGGGCACTGGGGCAGATTTAACAGAAGTGGCATCAACCAAGGTGGTGGTCCTGATCAAGCGTGTGTGTGCCGTTGAGTCAGTTTTGACCTGACCAAGAAGCTATATTATTATCTGTGGGGTTACCAATATAAACTCAGAATTGACTATGCAGTGTTGAAGTGACTACAGGAAGCCCAATACAAATTTGTGTGCTGGAGTCTTGCCCTCCAGGAATATAACATTGAATACATTCAAGGCAGGATGACTACAGTGGCAGATACATTCTCCAAAGGTCATTTGATCACTGAGAACCATGGGAGGGGAAGATCCAATAAGGGAAGGATATGATATCCATAGCATTTTTTCCATTGCATGTTCTATTTCCAAACTGATTATTTGCTCATGGATGATGAGATTCATTCCAGAACAAAGTTCCTAAAAGAACTATATCGCAATGTAACTAGTTGCAATTATATATTTAATGCATCTAGGTTGACGCGTATCAGACATACTGATTAATAGTGCCTTTAATTATGATTTAATATAATCGCAATACATAGATCCACATCATATTTTGGCAAATAATGAAGGAAAAAGTTTTATAATCATCATCAATAATCTCATTCATTCATTTTATCTTATGCTTTACATTTTCCAGATAACTTGAAGGATGTCACGCTAAATAAAGTTTTGTAACATCCCAGAGTTCAGGAGACAGAATTCTGTTTTTAAGTTACAAGAAGGAAAGTACTACTAAAATGATAGCAAAAACCCTTCCAACAGAAAGCTGGCAATGGAATGTACTACTCAAAAGATGATGCATTCATTTGTATTCCTTCACAAAGACCACAGTTCGCTTGGCCTATAATGGCAAGACATTATAATATACAATGTAATATTATATAAGATATAATATTATATACGATATTTAATCACCGTTTGCTTGGACAAGCCATATTGACATCGTATATACGTAAAACACACTGACATTAACATAACGTAAACCTCACTGTTTAGAAGAAATATCAGGCTAGTTAACGAATTTCATTACAGCCATTCTAATTTCTAATTTCTATTTAGAAATTAATTTCATTAGAGCCCCTCTATTTCTAATTTCTAATCTCATTAGAGCCATCTCAAAATCTCAGTTCCGTGACCACGATCTTTACTCTGTACGCTTACATAGAAACAGGCGGGGGGGGGGTACAGTGTTGAACGAGGAAAAGTAACCCACCCGTACACGCAAATCCGGACTGGATTGCCTTCCTTCCTTCCTTGGTCTCAGGATCACAAGAAGATTAACTAGAAAAGGAACTCGGAATCGAGAGGTGGTGCGTATGTAAAATTAACTTCTAAAAGGAACTCGGAACCTAGAGGTTGTGTATATGTTTGCACTAGTCTGAGGAACGGCAGCCCGCTAAGCGCCTGCGCGGAGATCCACACGCGCGACCTATCATTAAGTGGAGAGTTTGCCGTTTGAGCACGTTTGGCGTGTGGTGAAAATTTCCGGCTTGGGCCTGTTTCGGCTCCAAGCCTTGTGGCGCCAGGGTCCGTTGTGTGTGATGGGCCGCAGGCAACGCCGGAGGCAGCAGCAGAGCCGTGAGGGAGGATCCCAGGTGAGTGGGGCCTAATCGCGGTGGGCTCCTTTTGGCCGCGCCTGGCGGGGGAGAGGGCTATCCTGATGGGAAGGTTTTTCACGGAGCGGCTATTCCGATGTTCTCGCCAAGAGAGGCTGACTGAGCATCCGGCGTACTTGTTTTCTCCGTTACCGCGGAGCGGGGCTGATGCCTGTTTCTGTGGGCGTGTAACTGCTGTGTGCCGGGGTAGAATCCGGAGGCGCTTTGATCGTGAGACGGAGAATTGGATTCGAGTGAGGCTTTCCCTCCTTGGCTCGCTTCTCCCTAGGGCTGGCCCGAGAGTGGGTATCCGGACATCGTGAAGGAGAATGCGTCATTCGAGCACTACTATGGGAAACTTGGCATTGTGCCTCAGGAGGAGTGGGAGAGCTTCTTGGCGACTCTGCGGGAGCCTCTGCCAGCCACCCTGCGGATCACAGGCTATAAGAGGTGAGCAGCGCTTCTTTGTTCTCTCTTACTGGTAAGGATTCGCCAGTAAGTTCACTTTGGTTGAACTTGTAAAGCTAAGCTGGGTGGGACCTGGTTAGTGTCTGGGTGGGGCACCGTTAGAAAATATTAGGGCTGTAAGCTAGAGTAGGGAGTTGAAACCCCACTGGAGAAGCCAATGGCAAACTCCTTCCATATTGATTGATTGATTGATTAAGAGATGGGTGGCTATATCAGTCAAGTACATACATACATACATACTTCATTTCAACTTGAATTAGACTGTATCTTACCTTACAGATTTTAGGGGATGTGTCTGTGTGTGTGTGTATACATACATTTGCCTATAATTTTAAATATTTTGTTTAGGACATTTAAAGGGACTCAGACTGTAATTTTATACACGCTTACATGGTGGTAAGCCTTGCTGAATTTAAAATACTTTGTTCCAAGTTTAAAAAAAAAAAATATAAAAATAAAAAATGTATGTGTGTATATATAAGATCTCATTTATATTACACTGTACCCAGTATATCAACTTTATATGATAGCTTACTTCACTGAACATTAGGTGGGGAAATGAGGCTATATGGAAGTAGCTCATGCAAAGCATTCTATTCTGTTATGTTTGAAATGAGATTTGGCTTTTCATTTAAAAGCATAGTGTGTTAGTTTGTACCTCTATATACAGTATGCGGACTCAGAGGCAGAAGGAACTTCCAATCATATATGTACAGATATTTTTTTTTAAATTACATTTGAGTGTTTTGAAATTGAAAAGTAAATAAAAATATGGCTTTAAAAATAAATAAGATCTGTTTGTGTTTTTTGGCAGTGTAGGTACACAATTGTTTTGAATGATAAAAAATAAAGGGAATATATTATTTAAGGGCTTAAGCTTAACTGAAGTAAACTGCACATGACAATTTTGCTGGATCATGATCATCACAGGAAAGAGAACGTAGCTTAGTCTGAAAGAGCATATTCTTTGCGGGGAGTGGATCTCAAGTTCACTTCTTGCTACAGTATTCCCAAGTGGAGCTGGAAAGTATGACGGGATGATGGGGGAGGTTTTCTTTTGCACTATTGACTTGTGCAAAGAGCTTTTTTTTCAATTTCAGAAACCTGCAGAACTTTTTTTTTAATTGGAAATGTGCATTTAAAACTTACAGTATGTTATTGCTTTGTTATACTATTTGCAGCTCTTAGATTCAGTGCTGTCCAGTTGTGAACTGGCAATTTGTATTTTGTGAGGCTTATTTTTGCCCAGATAGTTCTGGACCAAACAAATACAAGGAAAGGCAATTACAGTGTTTCATTTCTGGGTATCTCTTGTGACTTGCTGCTATTGCTTGCATAAGAATTGGAGAAGTAAATATGTAGAATATAATACATTTTAATTTCTTTAAGCAAGCGTCTGCAAAATCACTCATATGCTGCCAGTGGTATTTTAAAATGTTAAGAAAATAGGATACTGCTGCTTTTTAAAAATCAAACTTGTTTCAGATGGTACATCTCTCACTTTAGTGCAGTTTATGCATATTCTCATAAACGTGGTTTTTATGCTGAAAATATCAGCTGTCAAAATATATAATGTTACTCCGAATTATTGGAATTTAGAGGCATAGTGGTCAAATATTGAAAAGAGAAGAGGTACCTTGATGTCAAAAGGTTTAGCTAAAATTTTCATTTTATAGCAAAATTTAGTTGTCAGGTTTGCTTCACATGCACAAATTACACTTTCACAATTTGATCTGCATGGTGGTTGATTACACATGCAATGAACACTTTTTATAGTGTTCAAAGGGTAAATGTATCTGCCATCCATGTCAATCACTAAGTAATTTTTTCTACAGCACTACAAAACTTGCCTAGCAGAGAAGCATGACAAATTTAAGAAATGTGGTGATTCATAAATGTTATGGTAAGTTAGAGGTCTAGTTCAATTTTGGGCAGTCACTGAAATGTATGATGATGTTTTCATACTTATTGTGGCTTAAACTAGATGAAATGTAGAATTTTGGGAACTTGAAAAGTAATTTGATTGGACAGTTAGATTGTGTTTCACCTTGCTCTGGTTTGGTTTCTTTTCATTCTCTAGCCACGCCAAAGAAATTCTCCATTGTTTAAAGGAGAAGTATTTTAAGGAGATAGAGAATCTGGTGGTAGATGGTCAGAAAATTGAAATGCCACAACCATTAAGCTGGTAAGTTTGTACATGTAGTTATCGACTGGTGTAATAATTGTTAGCAATATAGTTTGAATGTTAGCTTTGTATAGATTGTACACATTTGGAAGTAGTGATACATTAAAAATGCTGACAGTTCTGGCCAGTTCATGGGTAGAATGTTGGTTTATGCTTACTGATTTCTCTGGTAATGAACAATGAAAAGCTTTCCGTTATGTCCAAATTTCTGCTTTATTGTTTCCTAACAGAGAGAGACAGTCTTTTTGAGTTTATGGATAGATTTACAATTCTATAGGAGAAGGAAGGAAGAAAGGAAGAAAGAAAGAAAGAGTCTGATGATTATTCACAAGATAAAGAGTGTCCCAAATTTAGTCAGTTATTATTACAACCAAAAACAAATTACACAGAAAACCAGTCACTAACCAAAACATGTGCAATGTCAATTCCCATCCAAACAATATGCTAGAAAAATTGGGCTTTAATATACATACATGCAGACTCCTCATGCTATTCACTTCAGGTTAAACAACATTGTATAAAGTCTGAAAAAGAAATAGAAAGAATTAAAGGCAAGAATCAAGAAAAAAATGGACAGGGAATCTAACTAGATCTAGTTTTTATTATTTACTATATCTCTTGATACCTTTAATAGCCTTACAAACCATCCTTGCTCTCATCACATTTATAAACCCACTCATATGTTACCTTTTGTTCTTTAAACTTATCTCTCTTTGAAGATCTTATCAACTCCATCCTACCATTAATTTCTCAATCTTATCATCTTGACCCATTCACTTTTCCTTCATTTTTTTTTCTTTTCTGATTCAATTCTCATTCATTCTCTATACATTTGAATGTACTTCTTATCTACAAGTCACACATTTTGAATTCAGTCCACATTCATCCATCATCTATGTATTCTTGACCCTATTATTGTTTTACCATTGATCGATTATGTGCCATCAAGTTGGTGTGGACTCTTAGCAACCAGATAGATAGATTTTTCTCCATGATGATGTGTCCCTAATCTGATCTTTCAGGTGTTTCAACTGTGTACTCATCATGACTGTAACCGTGTCCATCCACTTTGTTACTGGTCATCCCCTTTTCTTTCCTTCCACCTTTCCCAGCATTAGAGCCTTCTCCAGAGAACTAGGTCTTTGTATAATGTGTCCAAAGTAGGATAATTTGAGCCTGGTCATTTGTGCCTCAAGCAAGAACTCTGGGTTGATTTTTTCAATGATCCATTTATTTGTTTTCTTGGCTGTCCACTGTATTCTCAGGAGTCTTCTCCAACACCAAAGTTCAAAGATGTCAATACTCTTTCTGTACTGCTCCTTCAAATTCCAACTTTTACTTCCATAGATTGTCACAGGGAATATTATTGCTCGCACTATTCTGATCTTTGTAGATATAGACACATCACAGCATCACAGTCTTTTTCAAGGATTTCATGCCTGCCTACCACGTGGTATTCTGTGGAGTATTTCTTGATTGCTTGTTCCTTTACTGTTGATGGTTGATCCTAAAAGGCAGAAGCTATC